TAATTATGGAGGGTTTTTTTTTTTATAGAGCAACAAACTTTTTTTCCAGGTTAAATGATCATTTTGTAAATCAGTGATATGACATTTTCCTCTCCAACTTACGAATGATCTACTGTAAGGTGCACATTTGAGACTTGAAACTATCAAGTCAAGTACTTCTGATTTGAGGTTTTCTATTCCAGAAGAGCTACAGTATCCAGAGTCGTACAGAGTGAAGATGTAAAACTATTAACAAGTTAATCGACCTCTGTGGGAGTAAAGTTCAAGTAGCTGCTCTGCACCGTGTTGGTACATGGCATTGACGATAACAGTGAATGAATTATATCCTAAAAATGAGTTACAGCACTTTCAAAAAGATATTTACTGTAGTGAAATGTGTTCCTCACTAATGTGTAATCCATTATTGTACATATACATCTTATTAAGAAACGATCAGACAAAAGCAACATTCAGAGAATGCTGTTCACTTTCTATCCCGTATGTCAGAACAAGATTCAGAGTGTGATTCAAGAGGTGGGTGGGCTCTTTTGCATTTTAAGAGAAGAAAATTGAATCAAATAATAGATTAAATGCTGTGTTGAGGCTGTCATTTTCAGCATCTACATGGCTGTTAAAAGCTCCCCCTATAATTATTTTATCTGAACTGAGCACTAAATCAGATAAAAAAAGCCTGAAATAGAAACTTTTAGTAAGGGCTGGGTGGACAATAGATATCAACAAATTAAACAGGTTTTTGAGTTTTCCAAATAGGGTGGAAAAGGCTAAGAGTCAGGCCTTCAAATTAGTTAAACCTCTGTCTGGATCTATGGTTGATTAATAAGGTGGAGGAGAAGATTGCTGCTACTCCTCCTCCTTGACCTGTCCTTCAAGGATTCTGACGCCTAGTACAACTTGAGGGTGTTAATTAATTTAAATTAATATAATTATCCCGCTGTAACCATTTTTCTGTAAGGCAGAGTAAATTAATTTGTTGAATTAAATTGTTTACTAACAGAGAGTTAGAAGAGAGAGACAAATGTTTAATAATCCACATGTTACTGTTTTACTCTTTAGTGCAGTTGAAGCTGTTAGATTGTTCAAGCACTAAAATTTGATTATAGACAGAAAATTATAGATTTAACTACACTTGGTATTACTTGAATGAGCCATACATTTTTATTAACAATCTAAAAAAGAACTGAAAAGCCTCAGCCTTAGAAAAAAACATTTTAGAAATGACTTCACAAATGCAATTTCTGAAATACCACTGATGCTGGTGAGCAAGCTGATATTACAAATAAACCAATATCAGATACTCAGGAGTAATAAAGTGAAAGCAAAGAGTATTTCTAATGTTTTAGTTGAAGCCAGGGTACTTTAATATGTGTCCTTATAATCTCTTATGCTTGATAACTTGATGAAGAGAGCTGTCATTGATATCATGTTGTGATTTTTCTGGTAAGTTGACCAAGATGTAAAACATCTTGTGTCCATCAGCCAGGGGAATGGAGAAACTCCAGCAGGATATCTCTGCTGGAACAAGCATACAGAGATAAACAGTATTAGGTTCTACTCTGCTTAAATTCACCCATTATCCTGATGTCCACGTGCTTTATACTTATGTGTTTGTCTTTTTCCTCCTTGCAGAAAACCTGTTGATGTGCCTGCCTGAGCCAGTCTTGTTCTGTCTCTTTCAGAGATTTACCGCTCTTGGAAAAACTAGATGCATTAACCCTGTGTTGGATAAATGGAAATACTCACCTGAATGCTGACCTGATCTCTGGAAAACTGGCCTTGAACATTGTCTGTTGTTGTACATTCTGGAAACCACCATTAAAAACTCTTAAACCATTTTTATTTTGGGTAAAACAGCACTAAAACGTTCCTTTCACATCATCATGAATTATCAGTCATTCAAAATCTATCAAGATTTTTAGTCACAACTATTTTCAGCACAAGATACCATTACTTTTGCTTGTTTGTTTACCAGCTGCGTTGTTCCACGCTACTGCAGCACCATATTGGTGAATTTTGACCAGATTTTGAAAATGTCATTCATAGGGAATACTTAGCATTTAATGTTCATTATTCAAGATCATTTTTGAGAATTATTTCTGCCTTTGTGTCTTAATTTGGTTGATTTCACTATGTATTAATAACACACACTCACCAGACACTTCATTGGGAACACCTTGCTAGTAGTGACTCTGGGACCCTCTTTTGCCTACAGAACTGTGCTAATTAGTTGTGGCATTGATTCAACGAGATGCCGGAAACATTCCTCAGAGATTTTGCTCCATATTTATATGACGGCGTCACACAGTTTCTACAGATTTTTCAGCTGTGCATTCATGATGTAAATCTCCCGTTCCTCTACATGCTCTATTAGATTGAGATCTGATTACTGTGATGGCCACAACTCATTGTCATGCTGAAGAAACCAGTTTGGGAATATATGACATTTGTGATGTGGTGCATTTTCCTCTGAAAGTAGCCATCAGTGAGATTGACATGCTCAGAAACAATACTCAAATAGGCTGTGTGGTTTAAATGTTGCTCAACTGAGACTAAAGGGGCCAAAAGTGTGCCAAGATTCTCCACACCGTTTCATCACTATCACTATCCTGAAACATTGATACAAGGACGGACCCATACTGACCCTACCATCCAGGGTTGGCAGTAAACCATTGAGCTGGATAGGCAAACAACTATGAAAGGTGGACATTCAACATTCAACTTTGCAGTTTTTGAAAAACCAGGCCAAATGCAAAAAACTAGTTGAACAGATTTGCCTAATAAATTCATTTGAATATTCTGCAGTATGTGACAGGATCTGTTGTTGTTAAGCTCTTATATACTTTTGTAAATACATCCTTTTTATGGTTTTTGTTTCGTTTATAAACCATTTTCACCTATTTGACTTCAATGTGACACCTAAAGGTGGTAAACAGATTGTTTATATGATGTGCACAGAGTTTAAAGTGCCAGGAGAAAAAGCACAGAGTCGCCCTCTAGTAGCAGAGTTCTTACATTCATCTCCTCAATCCTCTCCCAGCTAATTCTTAGACTTGGGCTCACTGTCACACAGAACCATTATAAACCTTTGTAAAGGTGCCAACTTTTCCAAAGAGGCTAATCAAAAACATTTTGATGAGGGAATAATGAATTATATTTCATCTGGAAAAAACTGATGCACAATTCAAAAATCAAAGGCCAACACTTACCCAGAGTACACCCAACACACACAAAAATGCAGCTCTGTTTGTGACAGTTTCAGTTGTTGCCGCATTTTAATCTCTTTTGTGTTTACTTGCATCACAAAACTTGTGTTTTCCTGTCTCTTTGGGTTAATGCTGCATAATAGTTTGTTATTTTGTGCCTCTTTGTGGTTGTATGCTAGCCCCCCCAACACTGAGCAAATATAAGAAGGTAGCTGTACTATATGATTTTACTTGGTAATGGCTTTAATTGACTATCTCATCCTGTATCTTGTTATTAAACTGTAGGGTACATGTGAGTCACAAAATTTCACAACTTTATAATAGAAAGCGGGCTGGTGTCCCCTGTAGTTAAGGTTAGCTCCGTTAACCAGGAGCATTCCTGTTAGACAGCAACTTGTTCACCATTAATGGAGCGAAACAGAGAAGAGAAAGACGATGGTTTTAGGGGCTGCTGAGAGTGCCGTGGGCAATGAAAAGGCAGCAGTTCCGTTATTGGCGGTTACTCTCATTTGCCCTTATCATGAGCATGCAGGTTATTTATCACAGACAAGTTTCATGGATATGGAGTGAGACAGTGGCGCAAAGAGAGACGGACACTCCTCCTTATTGATAACCAGTGACATGTATTTATTTGGCAGAAACAAAGCATTCTTTGTGCTGATATATTTCATCATTTTCTGTTCAAATTACAATTAAATTAACTAACAGGAAGTTTGTGGTATATTAACAGCCATTACTTTTCACCACATTGTGCTAGGATCCGTTCTACCCATTACTTCTGCTAAAAAAACACAAAGAAAAATTTGAATTGAGTTTAACTGAAATTTTTTAAACACCCTCCTGGTGGTCACTGGATATACAGTTGAGGCTTTGCTTCCCCCTTGTGGAAAAGGTGCACACAGCAACACGCAGAGCACTCATGACCTGCCAGCACTTGAGTGAAACTGTGAAGAAGACCCCTAGTGGATCTCAGACTGCCCAAAAAACTCAGCACTGTGCTATTTTATTTGTTTGGAGAAGAATAGTTAAATTAATCTAGCCCTTTATTCCAAAGCATTCATGGCATCAGTCTACGTGCTGGCCAACCTGTTATTAGTGGATGACCCACTGTACCTCAAAGCCACACAAGGAGCTCTTAGCATTATTAAAAGACATGAGTAATGCCAGTTATCACATGCGACTTAGAAAAATCAGGTCTTTCAACCCGGTTGGTGTTATTTTACTATTAGGTTATCTATTCTTGCTTCTCCACTCTGGATCAGTAATATTTGAAAAATGGTAAGTTCTAATATCAAAATGTTATTCTTTATATATTATGGGTCATTAAAGTTGTTTTTGCATAGCATACAATAACAATGTCAACTTTTTTTGGCAAATTTTCTAACATTACATGCAATAGCTGTTGTTGTTTTATAGTTGTTAGACGTTTTATGGAGGAAAAAAAATATTTTTTAGTGTGTCATTATTCTATACTTTTTAAAATAATTTATATTTTTTGTTTTGTACAGAGGCAGGATGGAACAGTGTGCATTTTTAAATGATAAAAATTAAAAAGCTGTACAATTAATATGTCAGTTAAATTTAACAATAAATTAAATGTAAAATTAATTAAGCTTCAAAAAACCTCAAAACGTATGGGGCTGGGCTTCGATGTAGGTGGAGGTTTAAGGGTGGTGGTTGTGCATCGACTGCATGTATTCAGTGAAAAACATTACAGTATTACTATTTCCATGTAAACTTAAGTTAACAAACAACCAAACTTAGACAACAAAACCCCACCCAGTTTGATAAGGGCGCCTTCATTGGCCCGCGCGTCTGTAAATCCGTTCCCTCTTTATTTGGCGCGTGCCATTGGTCGGCGGTGACGACAATCCTGAAACGTGCTCCCGCCCACCGAGCGGATCAAGTTTGAATGAACAGCAGCAGCCTGCTCTGGAGGTGGTAGTTGCATTTGCAGTAATTATTAAAAGTGTGTATCGTATCACGGGGTGAGCCTTTCGAGGATGGACATGAAGAAAAGAATTCACCTAGAGTTGCGGAACCGCACTCCGTCAGACGTAAGTTGGCCTCGCGGCTCGCTGTAATAATGCTTCACTCTCGGCTAATGGAGAATATTTCGCGTGATGCCTTGGCGTGGGGATACAAAGTTTCTTCCAAGTTAAAAAGATGATGGGGGACGTCGGGTCACATTGTTGCTTTTGCCGTCGTGTTTACAGCGGGCAGGTGCTCCGCGGGTCCGCTGCTTGAACTTTTTAGTGCGGCTCCAGCTTCACGTTTTAATGTGCAGTTTGAGAATGCACCACAGCTTCTTTTTTAATGCCAGCGGTATAAACAAGGCAAGCAGTGTGAGAAGCCATATTTGTAACTTTTGATCCACGAACCCCGCGTTGTCGGGATTCTTGTTTTTAGTCATTGTCTGAGGCTCAGTGTGCATGCTTGGACTGGGAAATACGTTCACCTAAAAAAAAACAAACAGTTTAAGCCGTGCACTTGGCGCGTTGAGGATGCGAGCACTCAAAGTCGTGAACATTATCAGTGATGCATAAAGATCACAGCCTCGAATTATCGCCTTACAACTGCAGACCGCTGCTATAGTTGCACAAACCGTCCGGTTCAAGTCGTTTATGTCTGCAGGGAGCAGCTTTTTACGCTGGGGGAGCCTGCAAACCTCCATCCGGAGTCACTGTGCGCACAGATGGCCGAAATAAAAGTGCCGTTACCGTGGACCGTTAGCGGCCACCAAGCTGCGCGAAAAAACCCCACGCAGAGATCAAAAACGAGCTACGCCCGACTCATTATCAACTGTCGTGTGGCTATTCACTCGTTTTCATCGGGATTTCTCGAAGCTTAGGCGTCCCAGCTCCCCCGGTGAAAACAGGGGGGGAAATCGTCGAGCCGCGCTGTTGCTCTAGTTTTCCAGAACTAGGACAAGCCGCCATTTTACCGAGAAACAAAGGCTATTCGAAATACACCGAAATCCCGTTCATTCGACACAAACGACGAACCAGTCATCATACCTTCGTGTTAATAGAGGTCTATACACACCATCAGTCCAATCGGGAAGTGTTTAGCGCGAGCAACAATGAAAACGTTTGCCTGGCAGCTATCTAATCGGCTTTAGCGGCCCCTCCTACTCACAAATGACCCTGTGCACGACTCGTAGGTCTGTTTGGCTCCGGCTTGTTTTGACTAATGTGCATCTGCGTCGCTCATAGCTCACGCGCACGTCTCTTATTGCGCTTTAAACACGGCAGCCGTACTTTATCGCTTTCTTACTAATGTGTCAAAAAAGCGAGATAAATGTCATATTTACGTAATGGAAAGAGTCAACGCATCGCGATATTTACAGCGGTACAATGACCGCTGATGGACAGTGGGGGGTTTTTTTTGGTTTTTTTTTTTTTTTTTATAGTTCTGGTCCTCACTGCTGATTGGCTGAGTCACGTTCAAGGCCGAGGTGAAATATCCGATAACAGCCCACCTGTGACCGCATATCACACTATTTAAATATCAGTGCGCAGGGCCAAAATTAACGCTGTTGCTGCTGCTACACTGAAGTGTGGCATCCGCCCAGTGTTGAGCTGGTTTATCTGTAGGAGGACGTTTGTTTATTTTCTTCAGATTTATTTATTTATTTTCTTAAAAAATGGTAAAAGTAAATCAATTTAAATGTTTATATGTGTATATATATTTTTTTACAATTAAGAGCTGATTCCAAATATTGTTGATACAATTTAACTAAAGTGTCAAAGACGAATGTAGTAATGAAAATAAAATGTGTCTTGAATTTACAGAAATGTATGGATTGTTGTTTGGTATGTGCTTGCTTTTTGTTAGCATTTTTTCCTGTCATTGCTGACTGCTGTAACAAAGCAACAATGTAATGTGTTGATTGGGATTAACAAATATGATGTTTGCAGTTTGACAAATTCTAACCATTTTAATTTTTTGATTACGCTTCAGGTCAAAGAACTAGTGCTAGACAACTGTCGCTCAAATGAAGGCAAGATCGAGGGTCTAACAGACGAGTTTGAGGAGCTGGAGTTTCTAAGCACAATCAATGTTGGTCTGACGACAGTTGCCCACTTGCCGAAGCTAAATAAACTCAAAAAGGTGGGTGCTTTTCATCACGTGACAAATCTCTGTAGCTTCAGACTGTAAAGTTTTGCAAGGTTTTGATTATTTAATTGACCAACAGCTTGAACTCAGCGATAACAGGATCTCAGGAGGGTTGGAAGTTCTGGCGGAGAAGTGCCCCAATCTCACACATCTAAACCTCAGTGGCAACAAGATTAAAGACCTCAGCACAATAGAACCACTGGTGAGTCCCAGAAATATGAGGGGGGGAAGCACAACATGCAAAACAGCTCGTTGTTGTTTATCAAACTGGATTGTTTTTGTTTGTTTTTTGTTCTGATAGAAAGAACTGGGGACCCTGAAAAGCCTAGATCTGTTTAACTGTGAAGTGACAAACCTGAACGAATACAGAGACAACGTGTTCAAGCTATTACCCCAGCTCACGTACCTGGATGGGTATGACAAAGATGACAAAGAAGCACCCGATTCTGATGCTGAGGTCTATGCAGAGGGCTTGGATGATGATGAGGAAGATGAAGATGGTATGTCCAAGACTATGTCGGGTCTCATGTATGTCTTTGCGACGCTAATGCTGGCGTTTATATTAACTGACCACTTTCACCCAGATGTAGATGATGAGGAGTATGATGAAGATGCAGCACCAGGAGATGAGGAGGAGGAGGAAGGAGAGGATGAAGAAGAGGAGAATGAAGAAGAAGAAGAGGAAGACCTCAGTGGAGAGGTGAGATGAGAATAAATGAGATATGCTTTTTCTAATAGTTATGTAAAAATGCTCTTGTTAGTAGACTGGTTGCCATGGTGAATCCCGCCTCTCGTCCTCTGGCTTCAACTCCGCGAGACCCGGAAGTGAATCATCTCACTAACTTTGCCTTGTCTTTTAACAAAGGAGGAAGAGGAGGATGATTTGAATGACAGAGAGGTTGACGATGAAGATGACGAAGGTGAGCAACTTCTCCAAATGCATAATAAGTGCACACGCTTGATGCTATTCTTTATAGTGGACTGCTTTTGTTTTTCTTAACCTTTATGAATTAGCAAATTTAAATATGCCCTTTGGATATTTTACACATAGCGTTAACATGGAGAGATGCTACAGTTTCTGTGTCCACTATATATACACCATGTATAAACCATAGACGGTATATAAAGGATGGGAGTAGGCACAGTGACAGCACCTTGTAGGTCGTAAACTCATGTTTTGAAGCCTTGATCTTCAGTATTATGGTTTTTGCAAGCTTGTCTTTTGGAGAGCCAGAAATGACTGTGCTTGGGACTGTAGAATGCTAAGTTAATGCTAAAAATGCTTAAACCTTGCCACTATGGCTAGCACGCTTTGTTAGCAAGGTGCATTTCAGAGTGTATTGTTATCTGTGCACAAACAGAGGTATTTTATAGTTAATGGAAAGTAATGTACAAATAAATATGGAGCTGTCCCCCAAAAGCTATTTTATTATTACTTTCTTTAATTGTAATTTCATTATACTGTCGGAAACGGGTCTCTCTTGTAAATGTAGAAATAAAGGTTAAATAAAATAAATATAGGGAGTGAATCCTTTGGGAGTTAGCCTCTAGTGGGCATTCAAATGATTTGCAGTTTTCACCCCTGTGTGCTGGCTTCATATTGAGCCTCAGAGGGAGCTTATGTGTGCGTGATACAAACAAAACAGGGAGACAAGTATGAAACGAGGACAAGGATAATGTGTTTTGGTCACGTGGAGCTTTCTTCATCTGTAATGCTGTATTTGTCTTATAAATGTGACTTTTATTTCTTACTTATTTCTCAGAAGAAGAGCGAGGTCAGAAGAGAAAAAGGGACCTGGATGAAGAAGGGGAGGAAGATGATGACGATTGAGAGTCTTCTTTAAGCTAAGTTGTGAACTGTTTTTAACTTGTATCTCCCAGTCACTTCCCAACAGCCCCCATGTATTTTTTCCCCTCAGTTTCATATTGCAGTAGGAGTGGGTTTCTTTTGTTATTGGCCAGTTAGGTAGACGGGTTTTCCTGAAAGGAAAGAAAAGGTTACATTTGTGTACCTTTGACACCCCCGTGTTCCAGTCTTTACTGTCCACTTTTAACTGCTTCGTGGACACCAGTTTTGTAATATCAAATAATAGCAAATATAAACCTTTTTGAGAGACGTTTTTGTTTCCTCACTGTTTGTGTAAGACCAATTTCTGATGTATTTTAAGACCGCCCCAAAAAGAGGGGAGGAAAAAAAAATAAAATAAAAAGAGTGCATGTCTAATACATTTTAAAGTCAACTACTGGATTCATGTATGGCTGTCCTCTCCTCGTCTTAAACTTGTTATTATTTTTTTAATTGTATTTCTTTTTTTTTTTTTCTTTTTAATGTAAGTTATGTGTTTGTAGTGTCACCAGTATGCCAATACTCTCTGCTGTCCTGGTGTGAAACTTCTGTCTGAACATGCGCAGTGTGACCCTCACGGGACATATTTTTAAATCCTAGCAAAAAAATGTCTGCCCTTGTCAAAGCTGCTCCTCCTCCTCTTAAACCCTCAGCTTTGATAGTTCGGAAATTACGTGTTCTTGTAAATAATGACCAAATCTATTTTTTTGTATTCTCTTTGATGACGGCAGACATTGAACAGACAACTGAGGTGAAACTATGAATTGTAATAAGATATTAAATATGTATGCTGCTTTATCTAAGAATACGCAGTGTGAAATTTCTTGAATTTGAACATAACTTTGTATGCATCATCTTTCCATAAGGACAAAACATCAGAGCTCATTGCTTTCTTTGTTCCCCCCCCATGTTCTTTTCTGTGACACACACACAGATGGCAATGTTTGAATTTTGTGCTGGTGGTGTAGAGGAGTGCTTGATTTAAATGGAGGTTACAGCCACAACGTATGTGCATCGAAAATTTATTGTTGCAAAATGTAAACTCTGGAAAACGGTCAGCTGTTTGGACTTTGTTTTCCTCCAGTATACGCAATGGTCAAATTGGCCTACCTCAGTGATTTTTTTTCACTACATGTTAAATCCACTGTCATCAGCTGATTTCTTTCTTTTCCCCTTCCATTCACTTCAATAAATCCCTTTTATATATGTGTTTGACGTTTGTGGTCCTTGTACACAGTTTAATATATTAAAAAAAAAAAGTGTATACAGAATTCCAGGGAGTGATGACAGTTGTCATTTTTGATCCTCTACATGGAAAATCAAGAAAAGAATTTACAGAATGCCTTTTTTTTTTCCCACAATACTGAACTCGTATGTATACATCTACAGTACACTGCTACCACACTAAGCAAATCTAAGTTGGGGTTTACTTTGAGTCTGCAGCAGTAACTGTTTGGTCAAAAATGTCATGACTAAACAGTTACTCGACCTGTCTCCTGTCTGTCACTGCAGCTCATCGATCTGTCTACTTTCACTGTAGCCTTTTATTTAACACAGATATTTACCATTGTTCATTGTTAAGGGCTCATCTTCTCTAGCTAAAGCTATGAAGCTTTGGCCCTTTATGTGCCTGCGATGATGTTATGAGGAAAGACTTGTGACCTTTAGTCCGTAACTCGCTGTTAACTTACCATTTCCATCCTTGTCATGCATGCAGTGGAATTTCTCCAGCTCGGCTCTTAAAATAGTGCCAATTAAATTCGAATGCTCTCAAATGTAAAGCTGAATGAGGCAGCGCAAATTTCTCCTGTATGTGTTGTCGGTACGGGTGGAGGAGAGGCATGTCACCTGACGTCTTGAAAGCAAAAATTACACGGCTACAGACAAACATTTCTCAGTAATAGTAATATACTTGGTTTAAATGTCAAATGGTTGGTTATTATTCCAGTTTGCACTTTTAAAAGTAGGAAATTATATAGCTTCATAACTTATCTGAAGTTACGTTGTTGGAGACAAAGAGCTAATAGGAAATACCTTTTTAAGGTGCTGTTTCACACAAGTCTTGCACCATTTCCACCGGAAACATTCAGCAAAATCTATCAAGCATCACAATCATTACTTGCGCAGTGTGTCATACAAAAACAAAGGGATTAAGAAATATACATGTTATTAGCTAAAAAGGTAAGATGTGACAAATAATAAATAAAAAGCAAATATACATTACCCCCATCAAAATTAGCCCTAAAAACCAGTAACAGCCAGCAAAGCTTCCCTCGGATCCATGTCTCCTCAGCTGCGTCCCCATTGTTTAAATAAAGAGATACCTGAACAAAGTGAGCTATGTGCTGTCCTTGGGGAAAGACTGTCTGGAGTAGCTAAGTGTCAGTGTGACAAAGTAAATCTCTAGCCACTGTTTGTAGGTAATGGGATAAGCAGCCTGGTGGGAAAAACATGGTCCATGTCTGCAAAGCTCTCCTCGTCTGCCATTTTGAGATAATGTTGCAGCTCGCTGCAAACTGGGTCTGCAGCAGGGTCTAAGGCCTTGGGGAAGAAAAATAGGAGCAATAATAGTCTTCTCCAGTTTTAACCTCAACATAAAAATTACAATTCGGAGGTGGTTTGGTCAGTACAGGACTTTTTTTTTTTGCATGGTGATCAAGGCATTGCCACATGGACAAGAGGGTAGGCAAAGTGAGACGAATACCTAGGCGGCGTGGAATAACACTGCTAGATCAATCATTTACATTTATAAAAACTGAAAATACCAAAATTCTCTGCATTCTATATCAGCGATTTAATGCTTAAGTAGCAATCCCTGATCTGTCATGCCTCATTACTTGTATTTGTCACTACTACAATATTGCAGTATTTGGATCAGTTAACATTATCCAATGGTTACCATGTTATTGTGTGCACTACGTGGAACAGCAGGAAGAATGAAGTTATGATATAATGAAATATATCAAAAAAGCAGGGCGAAGGGCTCAGAAGGTTGTTGGAGGTCAGAAGTGGGGGGGGGCAAAGGAAGCGAGGCTTTGCCAGTCCAGGAGTCTAAGAGGTCAGGCGTTGTTGGGGCTAACGTTCTTCAGGTTGTTGAGCTCGAGTTCCAGCTGGCGTATTCGGACGTCCTTGGTGGTCAGTTCCTCCTTCAGCCGCCGCAGCTCATCCTGCTGCCGGAAGAACATCCGCAGGAGCTGGGTGGAAAAGGTGGGAAACGCGTGGAAGAACATGAGCGCAACGGCAGCTCTCAAAACAAGGAAAAGAGGACATTGGCAGGATGAAGGACGAAACATTTGGTTTTAATGGCAAGTTGTGTAAGGCTGGGTTCATTCTCAGCTTTTTTCTGAAATCATTTGCACCAGTACATTATGCTCTACTCTTATGATCGAAAGCTGTGGAACAGCTACTACATGGACCCCATGAGCCAAAAGGTCAGACTGCTCTAAAAGCTTAGTTTCTGATTTTTTATTTTATTTTTTTTACTATTCAAACTGTATGACAGTGGATATCCAAAAAATGGTCACCAAAGGCTTTTCAGTCTCACAAAGGGCAGCCAATCAGAAGAAAGCTGACTCAAAGGGCGAGCGCTAAAATAGCACGTTTCACATTTTTTTTGGTTAATGCATGCATAATGTAATAAAGATGACTTTGAACTATTATACAGAAGAAAAGGAAAGAAATGTATAGAGATCCACTTTAAGTGAATCAGTTGTACAACAAAAACAAGTTGCGGTTCAGTTACAGCGTTATTACACTCCATTAAAGGCTGCAATTATTTTATATTATACTTGTCATCCTTCACACACCTCGTTCTCTGTCCTGGGTGGTACGTTCTCCAGCAGGTCGATCCCATTCACTACCACACTCTTCTTTTCCTTCACCGGGACCTTGAACACCACCTGGTTTGGCCGGTGGTAACCATCCTTCAGGGACATCAAAACTGGGTCTGTTTGAAAAGCAGGGAGAAAATGAACTTTTCCCTGTGAAAACCAACACAAAGCAGCAAGAGGCTTCGGCCGTCCACAGATCAACACCAGAGAATCTACCGTTTATCCATGCACGTCTTCAGCTCTTCAGGACATCCACATATTCAAGTGTTTAGTTATTCTACAACATGATTAGGATATGGATTCAGTGCCTAAAGCAATTTCCAAAGTTACTAAGCTTTTGTTATCCAGACTTCATCAGTATTTCAGTATCAGCATTGGGTTCATTTGTTCTCTTAAAAAAAAAATATATATATATATATATATATATATATATATATATATATATATATATATATATATATATATATATATATATACACACACACACACACACACACACACACACACACACACACACAGTGGGGCAAAATAGTATTTAGTCAGCCACCGATTGTGCAAGTTCCCCCACTTAAAATGATGACAGAGGTCAGTAATTTGCACCAGAGGTACACTTCAACTGTGAGAGACAGAATGTGAAAAAAAAATCCATGAATCCACATGGTAGGATTTGTAAAGAATTTATTCGTAAATCAGGGTGGAAAATAAGTATTTGGTCAATAACAAAAATACAACTCAATACTTTGTAACATAACCTTTGTTGGCAATAACAGAGGTCAAACGTTTACTATAGGTCTTTACCAGGTTTGCACACACAGTAGCTGGTATTTTGGCCCATTCCTCCATGCAGATCTTCTCGAGAGCAGTGATGTTTTGGGGCTGTCGCCGAGCAACACGGACTTTCAACTCCCGCCACAGATTTTCTATGGGGTTGAGGTCTGGAGACTGGCTAGGCCACTCCAGGACTTTCAAATGCTTCTTACGGAGCCACTCCTTTGTTGCCCGGGCGGTGTGTTTTGGATCATTGTCATGTTGGAAGACCCAGCCTCGTTTCATCTTCAAAGTTCTCACTGATGGAAGGTGGTTTTGGCTCAAACTCTCACGATACATGGCCCCATTCATTCTGTCCTTAACACGGATCAGTCGTCCTGTCCCCTTGGCAGAAAAACAGCCCCATAGCATGATGTTTCCACCCCCATGCTTCACAGTAGGTATGGTGTTCTTGGGATGCAACTCAGTATTCTTCTTCCTCCAAACACGACGAGTTGAGTTTATACCAAAAAGTTCTACTTTGGTTTCATCTGACCACATGACATTCTCCCAATCCTCTGCTGTATCATCCATGTGCTCTCTGGCAAACTTCAGACGGGCCTGGACATGCACTGGCTTCAGCAGCGGAACACTTCTGGCACTGCGGGATTTGATTCCCTGCCGTTGTAGTGTGTTACTGATGGTGACCTTTGTTACTTTGGTCCCAGCTCTCTGCAGGTCATTCACCAGGTCCCCCCGTGTGGTTCTGGGATCTTTGCTCACCGTTCTCATGATCATTTTGACCCCACGGGATGAGATCTTGCGTGGAGCCCCAGATCGAGGGAGATTATCAGTGGTCTTGTATGTCTTCCATTTTCTGATGATTGCTCCCACAGTTGATTTTTTCACACCAAGCTGCTTGCCTATTGTAGATTCACTCTTCCCAGTCTGGTGCAGGTCTACAATACTTTTCCTGGTGTCCTTCGAAAGCTCTTTGGTCTTGGCCATGGCGGCGTTTGGGGTCTGACTGTTTGAGGCTGTGGACAGGTGTCTTTTATACAGATGATGAGTTCAAACAGGTGCCATTCATACAGGTAACGAGTGGGGGACAGAAAAGCTTCTTACAGAAGACGTTACAGGTCTGTGAGAGCCAGAGATTTTCCTTGTTTGAGGTGACCAAATACTTATTTTCCACCCTGATTTACGAATAAATTCTTTACAAATCCTACCATGTGGATTCATGGATTTTTTTTTCACATTCTGTCTCTCACAGTTGAAGTGTACCTCTGGTGCAAATTACTGACCTCTGTCATCATTTTAAGTGGGGGAACTTGCACAATCGGTGGCTGACTAAATACTTTTTTGCCCCACTGTATATATATATATATAGTACTATCTCAGCCCATGTCTACACACAAATAATGAAGACAACTTTCTTCAAATACAATTTAAATAGTATAAACTAAACAATATTAGTTATAATAAAAACTCCTGTAGGTCATTATTTGATCTTCCAAAAAGCCCATGAACCAAAAAATCTTCACAAAACTAAAAAACTAAATGTAAATGTCAATAATACAAAATACTGACTGGAAAGCATCTCTTATTTAAAAAAAATTTCCTTTACAAAATAGTGACCATACTATAGTTTTAATTGCCGAGCATATTAAAATCACACTCGTGAGAAAAAAAAAAAAAAACCTGTCTATTTACATTGATTCCGATTCAGTGAAATACGCGTGGTTGTAAGAACAAAATTGGCAGGTGTGTGGGTTTTGTGAATCGGATGGTAATTTTTGCAAATGCACATATTTAACCCTAACCCACTGAGAGCAAACACAATGTGAGAAGGAAAGAACGGGACTTTCAAAACATACTTTTAACATCCTGAATTTCATTTCTCTTCACTTGAATAATCAGACCGCATCTTATCTTTAATACCTCTCAGTAGCATACCACCCCAATAGTGCACTTTACCCCCAGACTGCCGGCTTGCTTGTGCTTCCAAGGATATTTAAAAGTAAAATGAGAAGCAGAGCCTTCACTTTTGTCTTTTGTCCTGTATTCCTCCTCTCACCTCTAACTGGTTGCGGCAGATGGCCCCGCCCCTCCCTGAGCCTGGTTCTGCAGGAGGCTTCTTCCTGTTAAAAGGGAGTTTTTCCTTCCCACTTGCTCATGCTTGAGAGTGAGTGAGTGAGTGAGTGAGTGAGTGAGTGAGTGAGTGAGTGTGTGTGTGTGTGTGTGTGCGCGCTGCTTTAGAGTATAAAGCACCTTGAGGTGATTTGGCAGTATATGAAAAAAACGTAAATTGAAGTGAACTGCATTAGTGTTCACTTGGTTTGAGTTCTTATTTTAAAGCTCCATGAAACATGAAGAGCTTAGATGTTGTAACAGTTAAAATGGGGGGTAGCACCTTCATCTATCTGACTACTCTCCTGTCGAGCCAGCTTGGGTTCAGGGCAGACACTCTCTTTACTGTTATCAGATCAGATGACCCAGTCCATTAGCCATGCTGCTATAGGCCCGGGTTCTTTGGGGACTGCCCATGAAGCACTGATCACTTCTCCATCACTCCCTTCTCTCTTACTCCCAATGCATTTTTATGCCACTGTTAAGCACAACATTCACTTTGTCATCTCTGTCCTGTAGTTTGTGCTTTATCTTGTTTTTGTTTACCATCTTTCCACATTTCTCTCCTTTCATTTCCCCCACCCCAGCTGATAGCTGAGACCAGCTAAAGTTTCTTCCTGCTAAAATGGAGTTCTACCTCCCTGCTGTTGTTAGTTAGAGGGTTATTGAGGATTTTCTCTCTAATACTCTTACTGTAGAAGCTTGAGATGACTATTGCTGTGAAGTAGTGCTCACAATATAGTAAAGTTGAATGTTAATGAACTGGACTGGATTGCATCAATTAAAATAAATCAACTGTGGGGATTTTTTTTTAACCATGCTGGTGATAACACAAGCTACATGTTGTCAGTGCATGATTCAGCAAAACAAAAACACTCAGTGACTGAGGTTTGCTGTAAATTAATCTACATTAGCTTTGTTTACTTGTTAGAGGCAACCTTGCATGCAAGTCATCATGGAAATCAGTTGCAGCAAATGAATAAGATGCCGCTCCCCTATTAAAATGCTGTTTAACAAGCCAGACAAGTGCGTCTCTGACGGGTTGCTTACCTCTATCAATTCCGCTCAGCCACTCGCTGGCTGACAGGGCCGGTTCTGTTCCTGCCGTCATGGGGTAGATGTCCTCCTGGTACGTGTCTGACTGTAAACAAACAAACATTTTCAGATGTCTCAGCAACCATTTGCTCAGCACTGCTGATTATCTCAACGTTCGGATGTCTTTGGTAAAGAGTTTTTATCTCAAAGAATTACATACGGTTTTGATAATTTTCCACCTTTTGACTTTGAGATGCTCATTCACCAGTCTGCTTTTAAACACACGTCTTAGGTCAAATAAATGGTATTAGATTAATTATTCCTGTTCTTGTTTCTTCTTGCTCTGATTTTGTATTCATCACAAACCAAGGTATTATAAGTCCAGTGTTCCTAAGAGGTGTTGGCTAAAATCTAACAGCTTTTTTGACTTAATAAATGCTGGTTATCATCTGCTGAAGATGAGACTGATAATAACAGAATGGAGTCTAATTTCATTCCCACTCACCCTTCTTGGCACAATCATGGAAATGGGCTCAATCAAACCCTTGAGGGTGACCAGTTTGTAGAAGCGGTACACCTCGCAAGCTGCCACATCCATCCCGTGCTTTGGCATCACACCTGCAGACAGGAAAAGAGGCATGTGGTGACGGCTGTTTTGCCAACATCCCTTTCCTAGAATTCATTGTTTGTCTCATCAACAAGATACAAAAACAACCTGCTGCAGCGTGACAAGTTAGTGAAGCTCTTTAAGCTTTTTTGAGCAAATTTCCAATTCGGACACCTCATTTTTATTTTCTTCAGTAAATACGATCCTTTCAGCTACGCAACACCGTTTTTAGAGGAGTGTTGAGGGCTGAGCTCATTTTCACAGTGATTCATTCCACCTCTCCGTTTCTAAAGACAGTTAATGACTGGGTTAGCATTTCTCTTTCTCCTCTGGCAGGACAGATCAGATACTGCTGTTCAGCAACTGGCTTACCTAGTCCTTTCTGTGGGGCAGGGGATCGGAACTCCATTAGGTACTGGATGTACGGCTTCTCTGTGGTGATTTCAAAGTAACGGATGTTGCCGTCCCCCTGCCAGAGCAACAGAACATGGTCATTACCTCTGAGCAATTGAAGCTACATCTTTTTTGCTGCTGTGCTCAGATTTCCAGAACAAGCAATGCTTCTCAGACTTTGACTTCCCTTTATTACTCAAGTTAAATTGAACACACACACACACACACACACACACACACACACACACACACACACACACACACACACACACACCCCTTAAAAATAAATCATCAATTCCAATCACAGTCATCCAAAATGTATTAGATATGCAATAAATGAATGGTAAACACAGTTCAGTTTTTAGACTACTTTTGTACAACTGTTGGGACATCGGGGCTGACCTTGCCTGCCAGATACAACATGTGTGTGTCAGCATCATAGAAGGGAAACAACAGTCCTGAGAGCCCGTCTATGTCCTCCTCCACCATCGGCATGGACAAATCCTCCTAGGAATAACAATGTATACAAACATTGTTTTTAACACACATGCACACTTGATCTACCTGCTGTGGCACTGTATGCATGTATGGAGAAGTGTTGTCTGACCTGATCCCAGAGAGCGATCTGCCGAGTGTTCCAGCGAGAAAACCCTGTGGTGAGCAGCCGCTTCATATTGCCCAAGAACACAACTCTGTTTACGCGGTGGTTCTTGCAGCTGGCTTGCTGATGGAGCAGCACACATAGAGAGAGTGAGGCAACATACACTTGCAAGGAAGTTAACACTCTAATATGTTAACAGAATATTCTTGTGACAGTAGAAAGCAGAGCGTTTTTCAGAAACCACTAAAACATGTCAGTTTATCGTCATCAGCCAGGTCCGCCTCACCTGAAGGACTCTCCCGGAGCGTGGCTCAATGACACGCAGCTTCTTGTCTTTGCAGCTGGTGGCCAGCAGACTGCCGTCTGTATTGAAAGACATGCTGAGGATGACGTCAGTGTGGCAGTCGATCATTTTCACCGGCTCGCCTATCTCCAGGTTCCAGATGAGGATCTAACTCAGTCGGGAAAAATTGTTTTGGTGGAGCTGTTAGAGGGCTGCTGTACTTCAATTAAAGTGATCATAAATAGAGATATAACTGTGGTTGTTGGGGGTGTGGCTGTGTTGTTTTTGTACCTTGTAGTCGTAGCCTGCACTGAAGAGGATGCCGCTGCTGGTGGGGTGCCACTCGATCAGACCCACCCGTCTGCTGTGACCGTACAACTCCAGCACTGCTTCCATCATGTTGCGCCTCAGGCCGCCCTCTGGGATCTCCCATACTCGCACCTGCAACATTTACCAACGCACACCGAGGTTGTTACTGGATACACAAATATACCTACAGGTTTGCTCATTCTCACAAAACATGATAACAAGTGACATTTTTATTATTCTGTTTTTGTTAGCAAATTATCAGGACTACTGCGTGCTTTCACAACACATTAGTATGAACTCTAAACCACAATCAGGAGGACACAGCTAGAAATCGTCTGATCAGAAATAGCACAAGCTATCAATGTAGCCCGTTGCATTAGGATTAGACAGGATTACTGCTATGGATAGAGGCTCTGTGTCAGACCAGATCAGATTATCTTTGAACATGTGAAAGTACTACACAGAGCACAGTGCTACCAATGCTGTGCAGTATTCACTAGAGTAATGTAACAGGTACATGTATCACGAAAAAACAGCCTGTAGGGTAACAGTGATTGCTATTTTATTTTGTGCCTAATGTCATTAATATAGCAAGCTGCTGAAAAGCTAACTGATGTTTGCCTATTTGTCGTTTTCAAACCTCACAGCAGCAACAACAGCACACCGTAGGATCGGATCAGAAGCGCGTGTCCAGTACAAACCGTATGAATCAGTAACCTCTGACCATATTAAACTGACGACCCATTCACCTTCTGGACTAGTGGCTGTCAACCTCAGCATTTAAGCACATACAAGAGAATTTTTTTAGAATCTTAAAAGTCATCAACTCATAAAAATGGGAGTTAAAAAGAATAAAGTGGATCACTTACTGAAGTGTCCTCGGAGCAGGACGCTATGATGTTTTCACAGAAAGGGTTCCACTTGATATCCAGCACGTTGCCATTGTGGCCGCACACTTTCGGGTGATGAGAGTCCAGGCGGCCAGACTGAAAGCACGTACAACATGCAGATGAAACGCATACAGTATGTCAATGCATAAATGAAGAGGTATTGTTTGCAATCGCATCACTATAAAGGAATATTACTGGAAAGAATCAGAATCATCACAAATTGCACAAAACTTTAGTCGAAACAAAAGACATTTTAAAGACAATATTAAAGACAATATTAAAGAATAGCGTAAATTTTTAGAGAATGTTACTGAGCAGAACTCATCTTTGCTCCTTTTGATGTGAACATGAAAGACTCACATCAGTGAGATGTCTCTATAAATTCTGAACAAAGCAAAGCAAACCCGGTTATTGTACAGGGACAACCGAGGCACATTATTATTATTACTGCAATAACCTACAGAGTCCACAGAGGGGCACTGGCTCATAACAGCAGATGACAGGAAGCTCTTCATATCGGTCATGATGTCATGAATGTTTGATGTCCACTCAATCCACTGACCTCTTTTCTGATTTCCTTAGAGATTTGCTTAAGAGCACTGGGTCATGCACCTGTGAAATCCCATGTGCGTCTGCATGCACGGTCCTTGCTGAACCCTTAAGACTTATTTTGGAGGCATTGCCAAGCTTTAGCAAAATTTTCATAATAAATATCTTTGAGAATGCATTAAATTGAAATTTCAAGCTATTTCCTTGCAAATCTTTCCCACCAAAATGAAAACAATAAATGTAATTTTGTTACAACAGGAGATAAAATATTGAAAAAAATTTTTTAAGATTCACAGTGAAGCTTAGATTTAAAGAATTCTTTGTCTGTGTGAATGCCAAATTTGGTTAGCTGTAGTCAACCAGCTCAAAAAGAGCAAAGCAGGAAGTCAACCCGGGAAATAAAGGTAAGTTTCAAGGTAACACACTGCCAATACAGTGAGGGCTTTGCAAACAAATCAAAGAACAAGAGCCAAAATCAGTCTCCGGCAGAACACAGCCACCGTGAAGCTGAACATCCAATCAGTCAGCATGAGAGAAGAAATGACTAAGCAAGGCAACTCGATTTAATAAACACAGCTAACTCAGGCACATCAGGAGTTCATAATTAATGTAGAGCACTGGGGTAATAAAATCTCCCCTTGAAAAAACCCCCCCCCAAAGAACAATGACAAGCTGTGCCAATATAAGTTCTGATGACACATTATTATTAGGGAACTTTCATCATTAATGAAACAGGATCTGAGGGACTCCTTATTTGGGTGGAACTAATTACCTGCACAGAACATAACATCCGTTGGGAATGAGAGGGTTCAGAGGCTCTAAGGGGTATTATAAGGAATTACATTTATAATAGGACATAAAATGAATAAAACAGACTTTTCACAGCTTGGATTTCACCCTCAATTTTTATCTTTCTACCACGCATGAAATTTAATATAACATAAAATAGCCTCGTTAGCTGCAACCACCCGCTAGACTTTATCGGACAGGAAAGCGTTAGGCCTGATGGTCTTCAGTCATTTCCCGAGGCTGTGGCACATATGAGCACTTTCTGAGAAGAGCAGATGTGCTGGCCAGGTACCAGCATCTCCAATACGCCAGCGGCACCACGCTGCGGTTGCTGCAGACATTTATCGAACTGTTATTCCCAATAAATCTTTACTAATGCAACTTACCACTGCTGCTCTGTCACTGCAGCAATACTAACAGCTGACATCGAACAGAGTCATGTTTCCAAAATGTAATATGGTTCCCCCGATGAGAACAAGGAATTATGTTTCAGTAACAGAACAGGACGAACTCAGCCATGGTGACACTGTTCTATAAACCTGATATTTTTATGTATACTCTGTGGCGCATCTCCCATGTGCCTTACGACACCTCAGCCAGCTGAAGTGAACCCGCTGAGTCACGCTTAACTTAGATAGATACCACACCTATCTATCTATGCATCACTATTACGCATATATCTGCTGGTAAAATATTAGCTCAATGACTTTATCAGAGAAATGAATTCCAACCAATTAAAATCCTCCACACGCTGCATCATACAGAGTAAAGCAGTAGTAATAGGAATAATAGTATGTTGATTCACAACGCACCACACCCACTGCAATTGCCTCTTTGTCTGAGGTGATGAAGAGGTGTTTGTGACCTTGTGTGTCATTTTCAGAGCCAGGCTGTCTGCCAGGTGGTGCCAGCAGTAGTCCATCCACTTTCTAGCGACTCTGTCTGAGGGGCAAACATATGGCTGTCTCGCCAGCTGTCATCATAATATGTCTGCCATGCTCATACCTCACCATTAGCCAAACCCCTACAGATTGGTCTGTTTATCTAACAGAGGAGCCAGAGCTTCATTTTGAAATAGCGTGGGTGCCTTTTGTAAAGAAGTAAAAAATAAATAAAAAGTTTATTTTTCCTGTGGTAACCATGTAATGGCCCCTTTCATACAAACAACAGCACGTGCCATCTTATATATGCTGCCTTATTTTAGGTGAAGCCTGTAAAATAAGATTGAAAACACAAAATAAACTTCATGTCTGCCTTCCTGCATTAAACAGCAGCCTCCATCACACAGAAGCTGTGCTGTTGCTGAATATGATAAATGCCACTTGTGAATTTATCCACTCAGCAAACGCTCAAGTCCAGTACTTTCATTGTAGGAAGAAATCTATTAAGTTCTAGCTGTTGGCTGGGTTTTTACACACAGCAGCAAAAGTACAGTGGGGAAATACAAGTTTTGGGTTGTTTGATTTTAATAGTTACTGGAGATTCAGATTCAAAAGATTTAGATTATTGCAATTTTCCCCCAGGTTAATAATTAAAAACATTTCTTTCCTGTCACAAAATACAGTTTCTATAAAACTGCTGCCATAATCATTTCATTTTGATGCTCACTGTGTGTGAATTTTCTGACTCACGAGACTTCCTCTTGGACTGACTGGCTGGACTGAAAAACATTCAGCTCTTTCTTTTAGTCACTGAAATCTGTCAGACTTTCTCTTTCCATGTGTGGAAGCAACCTTTTTTCTTTCTGTCTTTTCATTTTATTTTTGTGTTATTGTTTCACTGAATCCTTCCTTGAAAAGCCTAAATAAACAGTGCTGCACAGACTTCTAAGACACCCCTGACTGTTATCTACAGCTTCACCAGTTTTAAAGACTCTAATGAATCTACCTGAAGCAGCATGGATAAACAAAATGATAACATCTTGTCCTAATTAAATTTATTGGAAATAAAATACTTTTATTAACAGACAAAACCAATCACTTGAAAAATGATTCTCTGCACTCATAAAAATGAAGCAATTATTTGGAGTAAAAAGCAGCTGAATTATATACAGTCAAAGGTTTATTTGTTCAAATAATTAAACATTATGGAAAATGTGCTTGGTGTAAACTGATTACCAAAGATTCCATTAAATGTAACATTTCACAGTGTACCTAAAACAAAAAGTGTATACAAACATATTATGTATATATATGGTGTATATAACCCATATTTTTGAGTTTATCTATTTATATAACAGCAGATCTGCAGAACTTTACTGGACAAAAGTCATGAAACGCCTTATTAAGTGTATGTGCACATTATGTACTCGATACATCTGTATATAAAGTTATGCATCCTGGCAACAGGGATTGCTTCAGTTTTCTGTGATAACGCCATCATCAGCTTTGGACTTTCCAAACCTGACGATCAATGGACTTGATTTATTTAGAAATACCACTCTGTGGCTCTGTCTACCAGTTCAGCTGCACTTTACATTCACACATAACCAGGCTCATATAATAGATCTACTTAAATACATTTAATGACAGGTGTTACGTACATTTATGCTTTATTTATGACCAGAAAAGAAGATTCTAATAGGAAACAAAGTTGGAGCCTTGACAGTCATTAAAACAATGTTTCAAATAAATAAACTACACCACTGACCCAAGATTTGTGCGAAACTTGATCACAATCACCCCTTCTCTACCTGTGTTAAGGCACTGAATAATCACCAGAAAAATCAACCTTCGACCTATTTTGTATAAAACATTATCAGTGCATTATTAAACAGAGTTGCCCCTGAGATGTGACCTTCACAAAACCGGCAGCTCAGAAAGCATAATTACCTCTGGCCAGTGCTGTGACGGGTGAGTATGCATAAAAAGCATGACATCATCTGAGAGACTCACACCAAGTATCTAATAAGCTAAACAGCAAACGCCCACATGCACACACAGGCGGTCTTTTTCCATGACTGAACACGTTAGCTCACGATGATGTGACGTAAAATCTAGCTGAAGTCTCTCTGCTTCGGACAGCAAAACTGTTCAGCTTACTGAATGCTTCTACTGCCTGATAACAACCAGACTTGACCCTGCTTGGCAGCCAAGAGCTTTGCAAGCACCTTGGCATGGTCTCTCTTAAAGAGGCAAAGCACTCTGTAAGGCCCACAAAGCCATCTAAAAATGGGAATGATATTCAAACTAAAACATCTCCTTATTGAAAAGTTACACTGAACTCACACAAACACACTATCAATTGATATAAAGCTGGAAACAATTGGGATGTGACTGAAGACCCCAAAATGATCATCAGAAACTTTTTATCAAACCCAAAATAACCAACACACATAATATGTGGGAACAACTTTCAGTAAAATTTACATGAACACATGTTCTTAGCTAACTTTTTCACTTTCTTACTGCTGCTATTTACCATTGCTACTCAAATCAGGACTAGTGTTGCATCCTGTATATCCTACAAAAAGCAGTGATGCATGGTCTGTTTGCTAAGTGTGAAATGAAATATCATTGAGAACAGGCACAATCCCCTTTCCCATAATAAGAAAAGGAATTTTGAACTTTCCAGCAAACAGAAACCTTTTGTAGTGTTTATAAGCAATATCACTATGCCTTTATATTGTGCTACTGGCAGCACAACCCAGTTACAATGCTGGCCTTAGATTCTGGCTTTGCAGTGGCAGTTAAACTGTGCTTCATTTGTGTGGAAAGAGCTCTGCAACTTGCCGATTTCACTGTGCAGTCAAAGAAGATTAAAGTAACAGAAATTTTACAGAGCAAGAGGAAAAAATGCATACGAATGCAGATTTATCCTGCAAGAATTTCTCTTTAATTATGAGTTACTCACGCTATTATTTGTGTTTGACTTTGTAAAATTTACTCATTTTTCTTATTCTGAAGGATATAGGAGCAAAGAGCTAATTCAGTGTTACCTGGGATACAGGTATAACAATGAAAGAGCCTCCGCCGGCACTCTCTGTGACGACTGCCAGGAACTTGGAGTTGACGGCACAGAAGTGGTTGTCATGGACATTCTTGGTGATGGGGATACCGTCGAAGCAGTGCTCCCGGTTGGCTACTTTTCCATAGACATTTCGAAACTTGGAGCTTCGGTACGTCGGACGCCATGACATCTGAAAAAGAGAGATGTGTCACAGATAAACAATCTGAAAAATCAAAGATGTTATAAAACGCAATGATATAAAACAGGGGAGAAAAAGCCTAACATTTCAGGAAACTAGTTCTAGTGAAGGCAGTAATCTGATAAACAACATGATGTGTTTTGCGACTAATTATACTAAACGATTGTCTGATGTCTACACTGGAGTTTTGTTGCGTGAAATACTAGTACTGGTTTGTAAATTAATAATTGGGATGCATCTGTGTTTGTTTATGGCTGCAGTTCTCTGACGAAGTTGGCTAGCATTAGTTGAAAACCTAGCATTTACCCTTGTTGTAGAATATGATCACTTCTAGCTAAAAAAAATAAAAAGATGGTATTGACCCACCACGGAGGCAGTGGAGACTGTCAGAAAACGACTACAAGAAGACAGCTCCTTGGAGGACAGGACCAACTTCACACCCGATCAGATCTGCACACTGTTAGACCTCTGCCTCACCACTACATATTTCAAGTACAACGAAGGCTTTTACAGACAAAAACATGGCTGTGCCATGGGCTCCCCCGCGTCACCTATTGTAGCCAACCTTTACATGGAGGAAGTGGAAAGGAAGGCTCTTGGCTCTTTCAAAGGAAGAGTACCCAGCCACTGGTACAGATATGTGGACGACACCTGGGTCAAAATCAAGACACAAGAAGTGGAATCCTTCACTGCGCACATTAACGCTGTGGATAAAAACATCAAGTTCACCAGGGAAGACACAAAGGACAACTGTTTGCCTTTCCTGGACTGCGCCGTGCACATTGAAGAGAACGGCAAACTCAACATCGAAGTTTACCGGAAGCCCACACACACGGACCAGTACCTCCTCTTTGACTCCCATCACCCTTTGGAACACAAACTTGGAGTAATTAGGACCCTACACCACCGGGCAGAACATGTTCCCTCTAAGCCTGAAGGAAAAAAGAAGGAACACACACACATGTAAAGGAAGCACTCAAAACGTGCGGCTATCCTAAATGGGCGTTCTTAAAGTCAGCAAAGAGGCACAGAAAAGAAGATCAGACACCAGCGAGGGAGGATAAGAAGGACAGACGCAACAACATTGTCATCCCCTATGTAGCCGGTGTATCAGAAAAACTCAGGAGAGTTTTCTCCAAGCATGACATCCCAGTGTATTTCAGACCCAGCAACACACTCAGACAAAAACTGGTTCACCCGAAAGACAAAACGCCAAAACACAAACTTAACAATGTGGTGTATGCTGTACAGTGCAGCGAGGAATGCTCAGACCTCTACATTGGAGAGACCAAACAGCCACTTCACAAGCGCATGGCACAACATAGAAGAGCCACCTCCACAGGACAAGACTCAGCAGTCCATCTGCATCTTAAGGATAAAGGACACTCTTTCGAGGATGCCAACGTTCACATTTTGGACAGAGAGCACAGATGGTTTGAAAGAGGAGTGAAAGAAGCCATCTATGTCCACTGTGAGCGACCGTCTTTGAACAGAGGCGGTGGTTTACGACACCAACTCTCTGCCATCTATAATCCAGTTTTGAGATCCCTTCCCAGATGCCTTAACGCCCACTCACATCCTGGGCCATCTGACTGCAGGAATTTGCATGATAAGGTGGGGCCAGGTTTCACAATGAACACACCGAAACTCTGGCTGATTGGGACCCACACCCAGTTTCACACCTTGGCTCAGGCGATTAGAGGATCATCAGGGGGTCCTTTTGTCCCTCTGTGGGGGGTTACTCCCACTAGGGTTATATCTGGGACTCTCCACCATTTGACCTTAGAACTGAAGAAGCTTCTTGGATGAGAGGTGAAACGTCTTCAAGCAACTTAAAGAAGTCCAGACGCTTTTCTTTGCAAGCTCCTTTGACTATTGACCATAATGATAGATGGAGAGGCTTCAAAAAGGACAGCTTACAAGCTAGTTAATCAGGATGATGACATTGTTTATATACAGTCTATATAAAAAGAGAAGACAAATGTAAATAGAAAATGGAAAAAATGTCTTATTTTGGTGATTAGAAGCTAGAAAACATGCACGCATAATTATGATTGTGTTAAAAGTCCCCATCTTCCAAGCACAGTTGCAGGGTGGGCTGTCCCATCTGTGCACATATGATAAGAGTCACACATACAGTTGTGGGAAATCATCCAAACTGGTCATGGGTGTGAGACTTTTGAAGGGTGAAAACTGGGTGAAAATGTTTTCATGCTACTCCACGCTGCCACAGAGTCAGTGATTAACGCGTGGAACAAAACAAAACCAAACTGAATCTCAATCAAGAACAAAAATCATTCATTTCTGACAAACACACCATATTCTATTGTTTGTCACTCTATTTTTGGTTCAGATGGATCTTGTACAACAGAATAGCAACCATTGTTTGCAGCTGCTGCTCACAACAAAAGAGAAGTGGTTGGTCTTGACTCAAGATGCTTCTTTTGTTTGCCACTTCACCACAAGAATGCACTGGTGGAGTGCTTGATTTTTGCTATGGTCTGGCTCTGCATAGGGATTTAACAGTTGACTCAGCCACAGGACAAGGATGTTAAATGACCTTTGACCCAACGGGACAGAAGTTGTGGTGAATGAATGTGGCTATAGAATTTCTTCTAAAAAAAATTCTCTGAAGGGAGATCTGTTCAAAGACATATTTTTAGTGACACTTAATCTAGACTATATCAGTTTGCGATGGGGACTGGAGGAAGAGAATTTATGACCGCTGTCAGATCAGTGGCTGCAATTCTGGATGACATCAGGCAATCCTCTATTCAGCATTGTTCTGCGGATAAGGAGGGGAACTGGTGGGAGGGGTGTATGCATGCAAATAGAAACATGCCCTGACCATGCTGCTACCGTTGTCTTTTCCTGTTTCTTACTGGACAGCAGAAGTAGCATCCAGGAGGCTACAGTGTGGCTGACCTCCATCTCCTCACTTCAACACTCAAGATAGTGCATGAATTATACCCCGTATAAATCAAACGTAGGCAGGAAAATACGTTTATTTTATATTACTAGTTTTTCTGTGGGTTACTGTGATTTAGCTGTCTGAGGCGAGCAAATATAAGACAAAGAAAAAATGCTTAATCTTCTCTAAAACCATAAACCGTCCGAGGTGTTTATTGATGCTAGATTAGCTATGTGAATCTGTACCGGCAATACAAACAGACCCAAAAACCCAAATGGTAATGGTAAATGTAAAGCAGGTGTTTCTCACTATTCATTCTCTCACTCACACACCAGTGGAGGCTGTGCTGCCATGCAAAGTGCTGGCTTGTCATTGGCAGACACTGCAGGACTGGCTGTCGTGGGGAACGAGCCACAGGTTTAAAACAACACCTTTAATCACAGAGCAAGCTGAACCACATGCACGGTCTAAAGAAACAGAATATAAAGAAAACTCTAAAGTGCAGGCATGAATTTTGCTCCTATCATATTCAGGAGTATGAAAACTAAAACATTTATTCTTTATTTAACATTCACACGAACATTCAAATCCTTTTAATTCCAGCTCAAAAAAGCAGTTGTCTCCAAGAACTTCACATTGTTAAGTAAAGATCCGACAATATTAGGTCTGTGTAAGCTCAATAGTAGCTGCTTGTTAAAGAATTAATGTGGAACAGAAGAGCAGCAGAAACTGGCCTAAGGGACAGTTAGAGGAGAGTCGTCCGCTTTGAGCTCTCTTTACAAGGATGCTCATTCATCGGTCCCCGGCGTATGGCACAGAGAGGATGTCTGTCTGAGCGTGTTTGTGTCTTTCTTATCTCACGAGGGTTTGCGGCACACCAGCTCACACGCAGATCATGAGCAGAGCATGCACATACACAGAAAGACAGCAAGTCAAGAAATGATTTGGTATCCATCATATCACAAGACTTGTGGGTTGTGAGCATGAGTTCTTCTCGCGGTATGCACTGTGAATCCTTCAGGACTTTGCAGACTTGCAGATTTTCACAATATGAAGGTTTTTGTGCCAAGTTTGAATCATATAAACTTCACTCTCACCACTTTCATATTTCATTAACATCACATATTTTAATTCCACACCTGAAAATGTCGCCTTACCTTACAAGTATCCTTATAATGACACTCCAGTCACAGTGTTCCTGCTGCTTTCTGAGATTGCAAACATCCACCCTCCTATCTACACAAGCCGCAGGACCTTCTCTCTTCCTTCCTTCCCTTTCGAATGTAAGCTGGCGGCCTGTGTCTACTCTACCTCCTTCTCTCATGTTTTTCTCAGCCCTCCCCTTTAAAATTCACTCTTCCCACCCTCTTCTCCTCCTACGAGCACTGATAGCTGAGGGGCCAGCACCCCCCTCCTCTTCCTCTTACCCTTCTCTTCCATCCTGCCACTCAGTCAGCCCTCTGCATCTCTTTCTGTGTCCACTACAGTTGAAACTCCAGCTCAGGCAGACTAGCAGAGAAGTACCCATTCATCCTCTTTCCTTTCCCACCCACTGCTTGTTTGGAATCAGAAGGCCTTTCTGGCGGATTCCCAGCAACGCTTACAGTTTTTCAGCCCTTATATCTTTTTCCTTTTAATCTCGTTTCTCCCAACTGTGGACTTTGTAGCTAACAGAAACAGTAAAATTCAATCAGGAATTTTGCGTAAAACTTGAAATATTCACAGACAAGAAATGAAGAAGACACCACAATTAAACAAGTCTTCAATTAAACAGTTACATCCAGCTTATCTAGATATTTAAGCTCTAGCTCTCTTCCACAGCATGCCTTTTTTCTGCCACAGCAGATCGCCGCCCCTCCCTGAGCCTGTTTGTGCAGGGGGGAGTTTTTCCTTCCCACTGTCACCAAGTGCTTGCTCATCAGCTTCTGGCAGCCAATCAACATCCAGTCACGAAATACTTATTTTTCCCAAATCCAATATCTTGGGCTGTGTGACTGCTGCCTTATTTCCTTGAACCTACCGTGTCACATGTCCAAAATGGCCAACACGTTAATGTCACATGGTTAAGTGGGCATCTGAC